GGGGCAGGGGGAGGGGGCCGAGGCGCCGGCAGCAGCGACGGTAGCGAGGTCGGCGCCGCGCCGGGCCTCCTATCGCTCGCAGCAGGCGCGGCGCTCGTGGCTGGGCAGCAGCACGGGACCGCCGGCGCCGTGCGGGGAATCCCGGGCGCGATGCACGCGCCGCCGCTGCTGCCCGGGGTGCCGATTTTGGTGGCACCTGACACGCCCTTGCCTGCGACCATGGCGGCGGCGGCGGCGGCGGTGGACAGCGCCGAATCTGGGCGCGCTCAGAGCACCACCAACGGCGACGCAGCCCCGGCCGCCTGTGGTGGTGCTGCTGCCAATGCTGGCCCTGCTGTTGTCCCCGCCACCGTGGCCGCCGCTGCCCCCAGCGACCACCGGCAACCGCTCCCGACAGCCGCCGAGGTTACACTGGCGAACGAGCACGCGCAGCTCGACGCATCGCGGCCGGCGGCGGCGTCGCCCGGCCCAGCGGCACCGACAAGCCGCCCAGCCGCGGCCGCGCCGCCGCCGCCGCCGCCGCCGCCTGTCGAGCCCGCGCCAGCCGCTCTGAGGGCTCTCTGCCTGCCGCCCATCGCCGCCCCCGCACCCGGCGACGCCGCGGCGCTCGCGCGTGCCGCGCTCGCCGCGTTCGGCGGCGTGGAGGCCGCCGCGGTGGCCGTGGGGCTGCCGCCGCGGCGGCGGTTCGCGGTGTGCGCGGCGGTCGAGGCAATGACGTCATCAGAGGCGGCGGCGCAGCGTTTCCTCGGGCTGACGTGAGGCACCATCGGTCGGCTGGTTGCACACCTGCTGCGCATCTGCACCCGCGACTGATTTCCCCTTTGAGCCCACCGATCGGGCGCCGTGAGGGCTTTGATCCGAACTGTGTGCTGTCCCACGGACGTGCGCGGCTGCGTGCATGACAAAAGAATCCGGATCCACACTCTGCGTCGGCGCAGCTTCGCGGCGGCCCGCCGCCGCGGCGCGGGAGTCAGTTTCACAGAAACCACGGCCGCCGACCCCTCAACTTCCGTTTGCGCTGGACGGACCTTTGCCCCCCCCCCTCCCCGAATCCGTCACAGCCTCTGCCGGCGTCAGCCCCCAGCCTCCCCCAGCCTGCCCGGCCCCGCCCTGCCTGGGACTCAATTCAATTTCCCCCCGAACCCACCCCTGCAGCTACTGGCGGCTGCGGCTGGCCTGCGAGCAGGGGGACGCAGACCTGGTTCGCGCCTGGATGGCCGACGTCGGCGGCGGCGGCGGCGGCGGCGGCGGCGG